AAAATACATTAAATCTTTAAAAATTTTCCTCTCTGTCTCTGGGTATGAAGCAGATGAACTACCTATATAGTTATGATGAGCAAGGGCCCTAATCTTTTTTGCAGAATTGTGAATTTCAAGGCCCCAGGGTCAGGGGTAGGGGGGTGGGGTGGGGGGGGGGGGGGCTCTATTACCATATATACTAGCCTATAAGTCGGTATTTTGGGAGTTAAATATTGGTCTAAAACTCTATGTCCGACTTATAGGCCAGTCATAAAGAGATATTTTTCTGGAAGCGGAAATGTAGTATCTTACATCACAGAAAATGTATGGATATATGAAAATTTATGTTTACTTAGCTCATACATATAAAGTACAAGTGCAAGTATTTACATATTTCAATAATTTTATTTGTATTTTAAGTGACATTGCCTTTATGTTTAATAATTAAAGATTAAATATCAGTGTCATTTCGAAAAAAATAATAATAGAAACCAGGTAAAAACATCAATAGATCAACATCAAACATCAAATTGTCATCAGATTTGGGGGGAAAATTGCACCGACTTATAAGCGGGTCAATAACAAATCCTACCTAAATAGCGTCAAAAAATACAACCAACTTATACCGTAGGCGGACCGACTTATACGCGAGTATATACGGTATATACTGGAAATGAATTAATTGTTTGCTATCTGGTCCTTTGTATTTATAAAACATTTATTTACTTTTTGATAGGCAATTTTAAGGGTGCCTTTTAAAAATTTGTGCAACCTAGGGTCAGGGGTTTATGTCAGAGTTTTAGGGGCACTACTGATTATTGATGAATATAACTGATTTAAGTTGGAGTGCATTTTTGTTCCCCTACCTTGCATATGGGTATTCAGTAACCAAGGTAAGCGACTGTTAAGTTTATTATACCCCACGCAACTAGTTGCGGGAGGTATAATGTTTTTGACTGGTCCGTCAGTCAGTCAGTCAGTCAGTCAGTCCGTCAGTCAGTCAGTCCTCATTTTTTGTCAGCGCAACTCCTCATAAACGGCTGCACAGAATTTCGTCAAACTTTGCTGGTATTTAGGACACAATGTGTAGATGTGCATATTACCAGGAAATTCCGATTCCGTTATTTTTTCCGGGAATTTCCGCACTTTTTAACTTAGGCATTTGGCCATACCTTGAATATAGAGATGAACAGTTTGTCAGCACAACTCCTCATAAATGGCTGCACAGAATTTCGTCAAACTTTGCAGGTATTTAGGACACAATGTGTAGATGTGCATATTACCAGGAAATTCCGATTCCTTTATTTTTCCAGGAATTTCCGCACTTTTAACTTAGGCATTTGGCCATACCTTGAATATAGAGATGAACAGTTTGTCAGCACAACTACTCATAAACGGCTGCACAGAATTTCGTCAAACTTTGCAGGTATTAAGGACACAATGTGTAGATGTGCATATTACCAGGAAATCCTGATTCCTTATTTTTTCTGGGAATTTCCGCAATTTTAACTTAGGCATTTGGCCATATATTGAATATAGAGTTGAACAGTTTGTCAGCGCAACACCTCATTAACGACTGCACAGAATTTCGTCAAACTTTGCAGGTATTTAGGACACAATGTGTAGATGTGCATATTACCAGGAAATTCCGATTCCATTATTTTTCCCGGGAATTTCCGCACTTTTAACTTAGGAATTTGGCCATACCTTGAATATAGAGATGAACAGTTTGTCAGCACAACTACTCATAAACCGCTGCACAGAATTTCGTCAAACTTTACAGATATTTAGAACACAATATGTAAATGTGCATATTACCAGGAAATTTTGATTCCTATATTTTTCCGGGAATTTCCGCACTTTTAACTTAGGAATTTGGCCATACCTTGAATTTTGAGATGAACAGTTTGTCAGCACAACTACTCATAAACCGCTGCACAGAATTTCGTCAAACTTTGTGGTTATTTAGGACACAATGTGTAGATGTGCATATTACCAGGAAATTCCGATTCCATTATTTTTCCAGGAATTTCCACACTTTCCAACTTAGACTTTTTTGTCATATTTTGAATATAGAGATGAACAGTTTGTTAGCACCACTCCTCTTAAACTGTTGTACATAGTTTTGTCAACCTATGCTGATATTTGGGACATATTCCATTATTTTATCCCAAAGAGTTTTGCCTATTATTCAATAAAATTTCTCAACACCCCCCCCCCCCCCCCCCCCCCCACACACACACACACTTCAAATAAATGTGTGTATTTGTATATTGTCAAGAAATTTTGATTCCATAATTTATCTGGAAACTTCATTCCACATTTAAATGTCCTCATATGCAAGACATTTTGATGTGAAGATTTTTTGCAATTATTGCCCTTTTTGATCTTTACTATGTATTTAATGTGCACTGTGCCTTTCATTATGTGTTTCACCATCAAGTTATGGGGGAGCGTGGGGTATGTGAGCTAGCTCACTTTTTCTTTCATTGTTATGATGATCAATGGTGCTCTTTCAAAATTGTGAATCCCATATAGCATCTGGCTTAAACATGTTATTGTTCATAAAGTGAAAATACATGAATTCTTTCAAAATCTTCTTCTCTGCTCCTAGGTATCAAATAAACTAACTAAGTACATAGTGATTAACAGGAAACGGACAATAATACGATGTTTTACTACACAAAGGAAAACATTTTTTAAGTGTAGACAATATGTAGTAATCATTACTTTAATCAAGAATAACAAGTACCGGGTATAGTCTGGATAACTACTTTAAAACTTGTAATCCCAAGAAATAAATAAATGTAATGAAAGGTGGGACTATCAGTAATATACCCATTGACTGGAATTTTTAAAGAAATATTTTCCCATTCTGTTTCAATATATTGATTTTGTGTAAAGTAATGAAATATTATTTTCCACTTTTTTAATAAACATTTTTGAATATTATATGTAATTACGTAAATGATTTTATTTTGTAAAAACCTGACTGAAATTTGAATAAGTTTAATAAGTTTAACTTCTATGATTATTAATCGATTATAACTGGTAATCATTTTCCATCACTAATTTTCGTGTGTTTCGTTTGTTTACATTAGGTTTTTCGGTCTGACAAAATTTGATTCGGTCCTGTGTGTTGATTGGCTACATAGGACCGAATGTCCTGTGTGGTTGAAAAAACTTTCGCATAGACTGCTATTTAAAGAATAATAGTAAAGGAATGTTTGCGACCTTGACCTTGTCAAAATGACCTTGGATCACACCATGACACAAGCTGGTGATGAGTATATCCCATTTGTGTGGTACTGTATTGACAAATTCACACGTTTTTTTTCAAACAATGCATCCAGTCAAATTATCTTATCCTAAATGACCTTGATTCAAGGCCGTAACACACTCTCCATGATTTAAGCCACACATTTTTTTAAGATAGGCCTTTTCACAGCTTATATATATGTGTAAAAAGTTATGGTCAATTTTAAGCAATGTTTAAATTTTGGAAAAGCCGGATAAACTTCAAGGTCAAAGTTCATGATATACATGTACTAGTATTTGATATGATTTTATCACAGGTTACATTGTGATGTTTGTGTGATATGAAAGCCCTATTTCTCCTCATTAAAAAGTTATGATCAGGCCTCAAGGTCAAGTTGTCAAAAGTCAGGGTATGTTTAGAAAAGATTTGTCATAGGTAATTTACAGGGATAAAATAAAAGCCCTATCTCTTCTCATTCAAAAGATAAGAGTATTGTTAATGTTTTTGAAAAGCAGGTCAAAGGGTAAAAAATGAGTGAATTTTAAAAGTTGTTGTCATATTTTTATAAAATGGAAGTTTTCAAACGTTATGGTCAATTTAAAGTAATGTTCTTTTTTTTAAGTGGGTCAAGCTCCCAGATCTAGGTCATGAAAATCAGATGTCACAAATAATGCATATGTGAAATATCAAAGTCCTATTTCAACTAATTCAATAGTTATTATCAAGTTTAAAGTTCTCGTGACAGATGGACAGACGGGCTGACAAATAAGGTTTAATGTTTAATGTAAAAAGTAATAAATGTTATTTGAACATGATAGATTGAGAAGTACGAATAATTTAAAAAAAAAAAGAAGAAAATATTATACATTTATTGACTGAGTTCGAGGGCAACATGCGTTTTGTCGGACCCAAGAACCAGACTGTCTGCCTGAGGCCGTTAGGCCAAAGGCAGACAGTTTGGTTCGAGGGTTCGACAAAACGCATTTTGCCCGAGAACTTTGTCAATAAATGTTTTGTTATACCTTTCAATTTTTTTCATTTTTTAATATATATATTTACATGTATTTGTACTTAATTCCGTGATGCGCCGCGTCATACCTAAGACGTAAACAAAGGTAGTGACCCGGCTGTAGAACTTCCATGGACAAGTCTCAATTTTCCATGGATTCCAGGCTATTCCATGGAAATTCCATGAAAAAGCCTGGAAACCCTAGACATAGTCCGGGAAGCATGGACAGAACAGACTGGACTTCCATGTACAGTGTACATGGATAGTACATGTACAACATGGACATCATGGAAAATAGGTGTAAAATTACTGGAAAGCTGGACTTAGAATTTTTAAACACTCTAACTTTAACATAATAATTGAACTTAGAAATTTTACAGGCCGGAAAAGCCTGGACAAATTGTCTTTGAAGACTTAGTCATTTTTCTGCCTTCAGAAGTCAGCTGAAAATTTTCTAAGTCCTAAACATGGCATTTGATGGATTTTTTTTTTAAAAATCTATAACTTTTTAAATATTTATTGTATTCAAGTGCGGTTTTTTGCTTTATGAAACTAGGTTTAAAACCAACCCTTTCCAATGAGAATCTTAATGTTTTTGTAATGTTGGGATATTAAGTTGATTAGGTGATTCTGTAAATGGAATGAGATTCATATTGAATCATTAAAAATAAAACACACTTATCCTTATTTGTTTTTAATTTTACTTGCAAGATACAAGATAGAGAACAGTTTATGCAAACTCAGCAAATTAAAGCAATAAATTAATACTTCTTTTCCATTATTCAATAATACTAGCAAATGGTACCTTTCAGACGAAAGGCCTATCTCATGTATTTTCTATACTACCGTATAATCCCTATTATCCGCCCCGGGCACTTAGAAAATTGCAAAAATGGGGTGGTTATTTTTGTTTTCTCTTTTTGATATTTAATGTCCTATTTTAACTTCAAAAAATCTTTTGAAAAAAAAAAAATCAAATACATGACTTTCATCACTGTTCAGGGGGCCCTTATTTCCTGACAATTTAAAAAGTCCTAAAGGGGTGCTAATAGGGGTAGGGGCAGTTAATAGGGATTATACTGTGATACAGATATCAGAATAATATATTTAAAGACAAGGGAAAATAATTTGATGAAAAAAAACTGAAATACTTTTAATAATCTTTATTGAGACGTTTAAGTTCTTTCTTTTTACACCCAAAAAAAATGCTTTACAATGAGTTCCCCCAAAAATGTATCAATGTTCACTTAAATGGTCTTAGGCTAAGAAAAATAAACCTTCAGATCAAAGAATTTGTATACCAGATTGATATCTATCACTATCAACTTATGAAGGAGGGGTGCTTGTAATTAATCATTTACAGCATTCAGGTTCAGGTGAGTTATAAATTAAAGTGCCTGACATTATTTTGAATATCTAAAGATTGATTTTTCCTGGCCTAAAAGATATGTTTTCTGTCACTTGGTTTCTACAGCTCAATTCACCGAATGTCCAGCTCAAAATGTTATCTGTGCAGTAGTCATTTCAGTCTCTTTCATGGTGGTTTGGCGGGCTGCATTACTAACAACAAGAGGCTCTACTATTTTTCCAACTCTGACCTGTCACCACATTCCTGATCATTTCTGAAAGAAATAAAAAAAAATGGTATTGTGTCACTGTGTTGAAGGAATGACTGTTTTGAAAAGAAAAAAGAAGAAAACAATGCAACTTTTTAATTTCAAAATCTAATCCCAGGTCAATCTGCATCATATAGATCTATTTGTTTATGATTTAATTATATTTGTAACACGTCATTTGTTTTGGTATAAGATTTAATCCATTTTGTATAACATAACTTGCCTACATCACAATGAATTACGTCAAAAATGTATTGCTACGTTTGACGTTACTTTAAAAAAATGTTAAATTTCAATTTTAAGGGACAACCCTGCTGTATAATCAGACCTGATCTGAAGTACCTGGATTTCCTTTTTCTCAAGAATTTTTTTGCTTTTAGGAACAGGAACAGAAGAATCTAATTCATGCTATTTTTGCCTTACAGCAACATCACCTGAAATGAATAAAAGAATAGCATACATGTTACACATAAATGTCTACATCACAAATAAAAATGTGTAGTAATTTATGTATTTATGGTCTTAACAATGTCTTCTGCGGAAATTATAGAATACTAAAACAAATATGATACAAGAGATTGAACTACATAGATACATGTACCAGATTTACAGCTGCACAAAATCTTGCAGTATAAAAAAAGATATTTTTGTTTTGGTTAAAAATATCATAAATCAGCATCAAGACACTAATGAAGGAATAACTTTTGGTTGACATTCTTTTTTTCTGTATGCCCATTGTAATGTTTATTGTTCAGGAGATTGATCCCTCGACCCTCAGAAGTTCAGTTAACTTCTTGGGGATCGATCTAACAAACTGTAGGTTTGCAGAAAAAAAACTTTCTTTCCAAAAGCTATTCCTTTTTAAGTATATTGATGCGGATTTGTGATATTCATTGCTAAAACTTACCTTAATTGTTGATGATCATGTCGATGCAAACTTCTTCCCGCTAGTTCATTATTCAGTGTTTATCAAACGTTTACGTTTTGGTACATCTGTGTGCAATTTCAAACGTTCATGAGTATCAGATTTCCTTGAGACAACTCGTACATAAACCGATTCGGAAACAAAGTAAGTCAATGTTTTATGTTTTGTGAACAAGTAACAAATATGATAAGTCAGTTCGTACACAAAGCTTTATTTTGTCTGTATAAATATTCAAACAATTTTATTTCAATTGTATATACGTTTTACTGTAGAAAATTCATAATATAACAATATTAAAAAAATTACACGAATCAGTTACGAATTGACTGGATACTTTCTAGTGATCATAATAGACAAGGTCTCATTGGTCAGAATTTGTATCAACCGATCCGATTGGCCAAAGTTTCCAAACCGCGCCATTTCGAGCAACAGAAGGACGCTGTCGACCATGGGGAAGACAAATTCGTCAGCATTAACTTTGAGAACGTTAAAGAACTTACTAGAAAACCGATAAAAGATCATCATATAGAAGGGGAATTCATCATTGCAACATTTGGCAAAGCTCGGATCTCGGATGGTACGTATGTATGTCAATAGTGATTAGAAATAGCTTTACAAGTTCTAGACTACAAAGAGCAACCTCAGACTAAGTGAAAGTTGAGACGTTATATATTATTTCTCAATATTAAAAGATAGATAAACTAAACTTTAATATACTTCTGCGTTGATCAATGTGAAAATCGGCCTCCTCTTTCGGTGTATGACGTCACAACATCCGTTTTGAGAGGTGGCTAAAATATAGATATTGGCTACAGAATCTGTCTAGAATTAGGGAGTGAAAGATGGTTGATTAACCAATGCTAGAAAGTGGAGAAATTCTTGTGTGTGTCCGTTTGTAACAAATTTTCGTCACTGTTTTCCCAGCAACTACTAATTGAATGAAGATGCTTGAAATTTCAAAAACGATCTTTCCTGGCCATATGGTGGAATTCTTTTTTGTTCAAATCTGATGTCAAATTCCTGTTGATCTGTCTGTAGCAACAAAACAATAATTTTCATCACAGTTTTCTCAGCAACTACTCGTTACAGATGCTTGAAATCTTAGCACATACTTTGATGAGGCATTTTCTACTTGCAGACAGGCAACACCACAGCAAAAGAGGAAAGCAAACAAGACTGTTGTTGCTCGAAAGGAAAGGGTATGTAGGCAAATAATTCTAATACTAAAGTCATGATGATGAAAACATACTTTCATATAAAGTAATCGTTTCTGGTTAATTGCAGGTAGATGAAATCTCTCTCGTTATCCTTCAGACAATCTAAATACTTGTTCAACAAGATTTTTAAATACACTTATATTTTTTTTAGAAGCCACAAGTTCTTAAAGAGAAAGCATATAAAGGCTACACAAAGGTAAGTTGAATTTCATACCTATGTTTTCATTTCACTTTGAAATAATTAAATTGAATTACTAAAAAGAAGAGTACTCTATTGTTTTTTATGCTCCCCCCCCCCCCCCCCACCCATTTTTAAGAAGGGAGGGCATATTGCTTTGCTGCTTTCTGTCGGTCTGCCATCAGTTTCCGTTCATTTTTTTCGCAGAGGTTGCACATATCGAAATGAAATTTGGTATACATATTAATCATAAAAATATCTATGTTAAGTTTTTTTGGGGGGTTACGATCGGACCATTCTGGACAGAGTTATGCCCCTTGGACTTGGAAAATTTCGAATAATTTGCTGTTTTTGTTCATTTTCTTTGCAGAGGTAACACATATCGAAATGAAATTTCATATAGAGATTTATCATAAGAATATCTAGGTCAAGTTCTTTTTTGGATAAGTTCGGACCATTTTGGACAGAGTTATATAACCCTTGGACTTCCAATTATTTGGGGGAGGGGGGCACAAGTGTTTTACAAACATCTCTTGGTTTGTTTTTTTTTTTATGAGAGGTTTAAAAAAATAAACACTTGGATTCTTTCTTTTACCATGAATGCTATTTATTTTCTTTCTGCAGAAATCATGGCTGAGAAGTATTCCGTTGCAGCAGTGCAAGTTCGTGATAAAATTATGGACATACAGAAGCCTTCCCGAAATAGAGACTTTTTTGACAAGTTGTGTACTTCCCTGTGTACTCGCCTGTGGTGATCTCAACTAGCAAGAAGTTGTATTATACACATGTAAAGAACAGTTTGTAAGCTCTTAAACCATTGTACAGAATTTTGGTAGGTATTTAGGACACATTTTGTTGTTGTTGTTTAAGACAGAAGTGTATAAAAGCATCCTTGTAGGAAATTTGGATGTAATGATTTTTTTGGAGTTATGCTCATGTTAAAATCAAATGAAGTGTATAAAAGCATCCTTGTAGGAAATTTGGATGTAATGATTTTTTTGGAGTTATGCTCATGTTAAAATCAAATTATTTTTTGTGTATTTTATGCTGAGAAATATGCTGTTACAGCATAGCAAGTTCGTGATAAAATTAGGGACATACTGAAGCCTTCCTGAAAGTGACTTTTTAGGTCAGTGCACAACCTTGGTGCAAATGTAAATGACCGCAAGAAGTTATGTAGTACATGTAAAGAACAGTTTGTAAAATTTAATGTAATGATTTTTAGGAGTTATGCTTATTTTAAAGTCAAATTAATGCATTTAAACATATTCATTCATTATGTGTAGGATTGTCAAGTAATGGAGGTGGAAGGCTGGGATATAAGCTCACTTTTTATTTCGATAAAACTCAGATTTGGCATATTGATGTTTTGGGGAAAAATATTGTACAGATAATTGAATTTCTTTAAAATTTAAGAATACATGAATACATCACTTACATGTTTTTAGTTTTTTTTTATTGTTGCAGAAGATTTGTATGATTTTTAGACAATACTGGTATTTATGTACATTGGACTTTTGTCAAGTAAGGATATTAGCCCGTCACCTAGCAGAATGTCAAACAGAATTTGTCATGTACTGATTTCCAGACTAGTTCCATGGACTGTCCATGGAAAAACTGCCAGGGAAATGCCATGGAATATCTAGTCAAATTCATGGACAAGTGTCCATAAATTCCATGGACAAGTGTCCATGAATTCCATGGAAAGTGTCCATGAATTCCATGGACAAGTGTCCATGGAAAGTGTCCATGGAATATTTTGCTATATTGCCATGGACATTTTCTAGTTATTTTCCACCCTTATTTTATCAAATTATTCCCTGGACAAGGAGTCCAAATACTCCAGGTTTTTTCCATGGACACTTTTTTCCATGGATTTTCATGGTATATCCATGGAGTTCCATGGAAGTTCTACAGCCGGGGACTGTTCATTCGCCAAACGCTCGGCACTAGAAGTGAAAGTCAAGGGTCTATCAGATATGACCTTAAAAACGTAGGTCCCGTGTCACGGTAGGCGTTGGCACGATAAAGAACCCTCACTGCTCAATGGCCCTGAGTGCCGAGTATAGGTCTAAATTTAAAGCCCTTCACCGGCATCGGTGACGTCTCCATATGTCATTGAGTGAAAAATTCTCAAGAGGGACGTACGTTAAACAATATACAATCAATCAATCAATCTATCACTGTTTAACACCAGAGAATGAAAATGAGATAAAGCTCCGCCCACTCTTTGATGTAAGCGGTCCAACATCTCTCCGAGCGGTCCAACATCTCACTCAGCGTTCCAACATAGATTTATTTATGCCCGCTCAGCAAAACATTAAAAATGTTAGACTTTTTTGTATAGAATTGTATAGGAACAAATTTCTAAAGGTATAACAATAGAATATATTTCCATTACTAATTTTGTTCTCTGTGATAACTCTTTGAGAGTTAGGGGGAGTTAATTTCTTGATAATTCTGTCGGAATGTAAATTAGGCAGGGCGATAGGTCAGGAGCTCAGGAGGCCTAATACGCTGGGCTTCCCCCGTTATGCAAATTATCCCATGTTTCCCTCTATTGTTGATCCCCTGGCATACTCTCCTAACTAAACAGTGATTCCTGAAATAAATCAGGTTTCCTACATGAGATAGATTTCCTTAAAGACTTATTAATACATATTATTCAAGAACATGCAATACAAATGTACATATTCTTGGAGGTTCAAGACGCGGAGACCAGTCATTTCGATGAGAACATATACATAATAACTGTCTTGTTACGGGGTTGCTTGTGCCATAAAAGGTCTTTAAGCTCCAGATAATTTTTTACCCCAAAGTGTATTTACTTCCTGATTTTCAAATCAATGCAAATTTTGATTTTCAGCAAAAAGATTGCAAGTTGAGAGAGAAACTGGCTATGAACCCATAATAAAAAAAGTAATGCCTAGTGCATAGTCTTTCTAAATAGAAATTGATTTTAATCTAAATCTCCGATTCTTCCTCCCCAAATGGAATATTCCTGGTCACTAAAGGCTTTTAAATCTGTACTTCGTTTTGAGAAAAATCAAACACTGAGTTAACCTTTATTCTTATTATTAAGTCATTCCTGTATTCTTCAACTTGTTGTACACAGTACTAACTTTCTTGGTGTAATGCGTGTCTATGATTGTTAATGCGTAATTGTACGCTCTATTTTAATTTTCAATGCGTATTTTGTAAAAATATATGCGTATTTCTGCAAATACGCACCTAATCTGGAGCTCTGAAAGGATTTAATAAAATTCGCCTGATGGCCACTTCTGATTTTTTTTATAGTCTGTCTTTGCTCTGCTAGTGATTTATATTGTTTAAACAAAATATAATTTTATGAAAATAATTATTTTTAATCCTTATTTTTGACAAATGCTTAAGTTAATTATTAACCTATCAATTTGAATTTTAATAGTCAAAAAGGAATTTGTCACTCAGTGACAATGTGTTAATTGAAATTTGAGTGAATCCCGTATGTTGTGTGAGAGAGTTTTTAAATCCGCCGTGGACTATCCAGGAAGTGAACATGTACTGGACACTCACTCCATCATCAAGAAATACAGTTTTACTGTGGACTGTCCTGAGTTACCAAAACGTTTGTGTGTGTGTCTGTGTGTGAGCTTTTCAACCTGTCTTTGTTTTCTGTGATTTGATTTGATTTATTTTTCAAAATACAAACTTTAACTTTTAATTGTTTGTTTTGCGTTTAATAAATTTTCATCACAAGTTCACTTGTGTTAATTTAACCAAATATATTCTATTGAAATGATGATTCCATCTTCTTTGTTAACTTTAAATTGCTTGAAATATAGAGTAAAAATCCAGAATGAAAATAATTAATGTTAGAAAAGAATTATGAAGTGTCGAAAAAAGCAATGTAAAATTCCGGAAATCCAACGCAGTAAAAACTGGAACCTCCCCTTACCCAACGAAACTAATACTGTGGAATCATCATTGTTCGTGGGGGACCAATGTTCGTGGCTTTCGTGGGTAACCTTAACCCACGAATTTACATCCCCACGAACGTATATACAAACATTTGGTTTATCATTTGTTAAAAGTTATTTACATCGTAAAATAATTGTTACCCTTGTGTCCGAGCGACCTCGCATTACGAAGACTATCTGCATGTTGTTAATTATTGACACGAACCAAAATTAAAATAATATATTAAGTATCAAAGGCATCGAGAACTATATACAATAAGTAATAAAATTATAAATACAACTGTTTCATTTAAGGATGTACAACACACCTACGTCAAAAAAATTCCTGTCGTTTAATTTTCATTATTTTTGTATATTTAGTACATGACTATATGTACTGCATGTATGCATATTTTGGACAAAATCGTTCGAGTGGTTTTTGGACAGGAACTTCCGAAAGTTACCCCCCTTTAGTTGTTTACAAGGAGAGAATTTTTTTAATCAGTGAACTACTAAAACCTTGATTTTCAAAAAACCAGGTTAGATATTAATGTCAAATTTCATTGGCTTATTCCTTTGACCATTTAAAACAAAAACATAGTCATCTTTTTGATATATATATCATCAAAGCAATTTTTAAAGACCTTTAACTGAAAAACTATGAATTTTCTAAGCCTTGAAAAATGCGTATTTTTCAAATTTAAATTTTTTTTGTGAAAAAACCTGTCGTTTAATTTTAGTAAAAAACTTTCTTTAGGTAGCTGGTGGTAAAAATAATCTTCATAATTTTTTGTATAATTTTTGTACGACCAGTTTTGATTTAATAGCGGAAAATTACCCATTCCCCCTTTTTCAATAAATCGCGTTCCCGAGCGTCTTTCAGACGGGGGTCGATCACTTTGTTATATGAAACTACAAATACACATTAAAAAAATTAAATTGGAATATTGCTTTAGCATGAAAAATATATTAACTTACAAATTTAAAAGTTCTCATTTTAAAGCGTATTTAAATGTAGATTTTTATGCAATTTTTGAATACTCGGAAAAGGAAGGGGTGGGGGTGATAGGAGTTACTCCTATCACCCCCACCCCTTCCTTTTTTGCGTCGCAGACCATTCGCGTTTGACGAAACGTCGTTTACGGTGTATATTTCGTGAAGAATATAGGACGTATGAATTAATTTTCAAATTCATGAATGCAGAATAAATATTGACTACTCATTTTATATGTATGAGGAAAAAATTACTGAAAGATTTTAGTGTTTATAGTCCATAAACGTATGCGTTATGCATTCCATATCACATGAAACCTGGATACGAATATTCAAGTAATTAGTTTTGTTGAACGAGAATATGTTGATTTTTAATTTTATATCTTTAATTTTATTCATTAAAAATGGTGTATGTTCAACTTTTCTGTGATATAAATGAAATAATTGTAGTTTCTTTCATGTCATTATTTCAAACGAGACAGTATGTGGCCGTGGGGATACACGACATTTGCATTAGATACATGTACATGTATTGTACACCCCTCATGATATTGGTCGCTTCTAAAGTTAAAATGAAAATTCCATATTTGTCCACATTAACTTAAAATTTCAAATATTAAACTCTTCATCTATTTCAATTTAAATCAAATCGCACATTGTTAATTTTTTAAAAAATCTTATAGACTACGTTTTGTTTTGATTCGAGGAAATGCGAACCGACATTGTTGACAGAAAGTCAAAGTAAATATGATTTGCTGCAATAGGATATTCATAAATGCAGATAATTTCAGTACAAGTGAAGAATTCTTTTCAATTCTATACTTACATTGTGTATATGAGGTCTATAGTATTCAATTCTCGAATTTATCAAGTCTTGCTGTAAATCTAAATTGTATCTGATTCTGTGGAAAACCGTGAATAAAGGGAGGAAAATAAACATCTCCTACATTTTCAGAGTTGTTCCTCTTTGATCAGTAAAGGTCTGAGAACGACATCGATTTTACATTGTAAAAAGTTTTTTGTTT